CCCCTGAACCCTTAAACCCCTACAAACCCTAAAACGGAAACCCCGAGCTTCGAAGACGCCGGCCCCCTGAAGGCCCCCAAACCCGAAATCCTAAACCCTGTATGGGCCCTAAACGGCCCTACCTAACAGTGGTGGGCCTAAGGGTGGTTTGGGGATACGGTCACGGCAATCAGTCGTGTACATCGGTGTTTAGGGCTTCTTGAGGCAGAGACTCCAATATCCCATAAGGAATATACCTTAATTTGGTAGGATCCCTAGTATGCTTTAAGGTATATTCCTCAATTACGGAATACTGGCGTCTCTGGGTAGGCGGAAGGATCAGAGTGCTCTTAGCATGGCAGCGAGCCCGACTCGACATCCGAAGTTCTATAACCCGATCCCGAATGTCAAACGACGAGTTTTGGCTACCATTCTCAGCTGGCAATACAATGAACCCCAGAAAGTTGGAACATGGATTTAGGATGATTAGTGCCGGGATTCCCATACTTTACCTTAAGGGCATGAGGCTAATGATGTTCCAACTTTCTGGATTCTACTGTAAGTCTACCGGAGGCTTGGGTTTTGCAGTTGGCATGGTGTCTCGGGGTTTAGGGTTTCGGCGACGGGCTGTCATGGACCTCGGATGCAAAAAGGGCTTCTGCTACTGCAAGGTGTGGAGCGTATGGTCTCAAAGTCTCGACTTGCAATGCTACCGTACCATGACTCCGATTTTTATACTTTCGGTTCATGCTACACTTAGTACTTGTTACCATCGCTCCTATCGCTGGCGAGCTTTATGTTGTGACTGCTAGATTGCTATGATAGGCATCATTTTCGACTGCCAGCTTTTGCGGTTCAGGCCAAGCCGAGAGCTTCGGAAGAAAGCAATGTTTGGGTGCTGAGAGACTGGAGGATCCAGCGAAACGAAGCACGAGGTCACCCCGAAACCCACCTCAGCACCGTGGCTACTCGACAGCTACCCCAAAGCTGAAGAACAAGCTTGACTGAGCCCTGAAACAATGCCGGAGAGGCCCTGATGCCAGCAGTGCCCGGGCCTTTCAGCCTCGTGTTTTGGGTTGGGACTTTGCGTTTTGGAGGCGTGAGTTCCATGTCTGTTTATGCTTTATAGGAATTATTCCGGTAACTTCATGTGCTGGGGGTTCGAAGTTGCGTCGCTTTGCATTTAAGTCGGGGTCTTGGTTCTGCCAGCAAGCATGGGCTTCATTGTTCACTTCGTTTCCTCCAGCCCTCCAGCCAACATCCCAAAGCCTGCGGGAAACAAATATCGGGCAGCTCGACGGGGCATCCCTTCGATCCCAAGGAAACACCTGTTCATCATATGGGAGTTTCCAAAAATGAATGAAAATTAGGGATACCTGATTTCGGGGTTCTTATTATCAGGATCCTACTATTTGGGGTACTATATTAGGGTCCCCTATTGTCGGAAACTCCCATATGAAACCCTGGGTGCAAATTCACCCAGACACCGCAACGGTTCAGCCCTTGAACAGACCTTCAACAGCTTAAAGAGATTAAACGCCTAAACACCTGCAACTCAATATGCAATGGCCCTAAGACGTTATTGACAGAAACCCTTCAGGTCTTATTACCCTTATCCCTGCTTCCAAGAACCCTTAGACTTGAAGGCCTGAAGAGCTGTCCCAAAGGGTCCAAGTATCATTATGGTATATACTCATAGGGTACTTTGGGGGTCTAAGTATATACCATAATGATACTTGGACCCTTTGGGTGTGGATCCGCAGGCAAAGCAAGAGGCCCAAAGCCGGCTAAAGCCAGTCCCCAGACGTTCGAGGCAGTCCTGAAGTGGCTGATCCCAGGAAACACCTATGTCTTCCAGGCCTGGTATGTTTCTGCAGGGTTTGACAGTTTCAGTTACTGGTTGTTGTCTCTCTTTGTCTGTGGTATTTCTTGCACAGGGCCTTGTAAAGCTTCTGATGTACATTGTACATGTTACAGGGGGAATTGTCATGGAAGGTCGGGGTGTGCAGTTTTGAGTTGCGCTGCTGTCAGGGTGCGCAGCGTGCCGGATTCAGGATTTTCGCGGTGGGTTCTCGTTCAGATGCCGTCTTTTCGTGGTTTGGCATAGGGTTTCGTAAGCTTCAGGTGTCACGGCGTTTGGAACTTGAGGCTCAGGCGACATTGTACTTCGATTCATTCCCGCGGTTAAAGTAGATCTTCCAACATGCGGTGTGCGTTCTCATCGTAGGACCACCAAAACAAGCACCTGGAATCTCTAGAATCTAAGCTCTTGCCCCCGTCTCGACGAGCCATGCCTGCGCACACCGTCCTGGTATGTCCTTGGTCTCTAGATGTCACACGCCAGCCTCCTTAACCGAGAGCTGCATCATTTTTCGGCTGCGAGTCCGATAGGTCATACAACAACCTTCATCTGTTGAGGAGGATAATTACTTCAGATTCTCCCAAGTGTGTAGCTTGTACTGTAGCACCGTCTATCTTGCAACAAACCTTTCTCCAAAGAGCCTTTCAAACTTTTCCAGGCACTGAACCTAAAAGCCTTGATCAATGCTTCGTTAGCTCCTCGAAAGCACCTGTCGCACGTGAGTCCTAGAGCTCTCGAAGCCATTGGGTCCAGGTGATGGCCTTTAACGTCTCCGGTGAAGGTGACTGGTCGGCGCGGGGCCAAGCACCAATTAGTTGCTGGGAAATCTTCGGATTTCTTGAGATCGCCCTTCTAGACATCTGATGCATTTACGGGCACCAAGTTTGGGGACGTAGAAGTTCGCAAACTATGGGTACTTAAGCGTGTTCTGGTATCCTGCCCTTCAAGCGACCTGTTGCCTTACCTGACTTCTTCCACTCAGATACACACTCAGCGTGGCTTGTTATCAGCACCGTAGCGACAGCAATGACAGCACATGGGTAGTTGTCAAAATGAGGGTCCCTTTTTGGGTCCCTATTATAATACGGCACCTGTTATTTTGGGTACCCAAACAGGGACCCCAATTTTGACAACTACACATAGTTATGACAACAACTACCACGACACCGCTGCTGATGCTGCTGCCCCCTCTGACAGGTTTCCTACTATGTTGCTGACCATAGTCCCGGTCATCTCAGACAAACATCATTACGGTCGCCATGCGGTTCATCAACATGGGTCCATTGAGTCATTTGTTTGTTCATTTAGTTGTTACGTAATGTGTTTGATTCGCTTGTTGTTTTGTCGGCAACGGTTGCCAAGTCTGAGAATTGTTGCTGGTCTGCGTGCTGAAAGTATGGGCAGCTTGCTAGGGCTTGGCACCACGAGAATGTTGATCCATTTTGCGCCGTGCAGGAAGCGTCACGGCCGTTCATCATGCCAGAGAGACCGGCTGCTTGGTATCTGAAGAAGCCAACGCTATGCGGAAATCCCTCTTTAGGGGTTCCATGTCGGTATTGATAGCTGCTGATGGGGATGCCCATAGTTGACTGCACGAAGTCTGCGAGCATCCCGACTGACCACCTTCAGCCTCATGACTCACCTAAGTGATCATGTCCACGACTTGGAATCAATCGGAAGCGGCTGAAGTCCAAGGCCGTGCAGTGCCCATTAGCCCCAGAAAAGCCGCTCACCTGCTAGCCGCCTGCTGTTAAGTTTCATGCACTCCTGACCTGAACCCGAAAGGCCCTACACCTTAAACCCGCGCACTTCCCAGCATCTTACAGAGGCTAATTAGGCTTCAGGCTGAGGTGCGAGGGGTTGGGTTGAGGGTAGGATTCCGAGTTGGGCTAGGGTTTAGCGTTGCAGTCTTTAGGGCAAGTTAGTTTTGGGCGGTTAGCTTGTCGAAAGATCAGAAGCTCGCAGGGTGCCAGACACAGTATGATGCACTTTGCGCCCTGCTGGGAGTGTTGTGACAGAGAGTTGCTCACCATCCAGACACAAGGCCACATAAGGCTTTCAACTTATTCATCATTACTAAACCCGAGACTAAACCCTAAGCCCCATGTTCCTCCAATAAGGATGGTTTGGGCATGGAGTTTGAGGAGGAGGAGCAGGTTCCTGAGCCTCCAGATGTCCGGTACCCAGGGCCCTGGCTGGGGTGCTTGCAACTGTAGTTTCCTTAGGATGTTTTTAAACTTTTGTTCGTATAAAGCCCAAGAGAAAACTAAAAGTAGTATTTGTATTATGGTTCTCAGGGGCGCATAGGCAATGGTACGAAGAGGGGCGTGGCCCCAAGGGCACTGCAGGGTTTCGCTAAGGGTGCGACGAGGGTTCTTTTAGGGGCGCTGCATGGGTTTAGGGTTTAGGGGTCTCTTTCGGGTTTCAAGTTTGCTTATATCTCATGAAGTCCTTGAGAGCCCAGCTTGCCGGCATACAACCAAAGCCCGTGCTCAACAAAGGGGTCTCCTTCGAGGGGTTTGTAAGGGGGCTTGCTTACCGGTGCGAGAGGGGTTTCTTTGAGGGTACTTTTCACGGACGGCTGCTGCAAAGGTCTCTCTGAGAGTACTATAATAGGGGTTTCTGTAGGGGTCTAACAAGGTTCCTTCTGGGGGTACTCTAGTTCTCTGTTTAAGAAACGGGAAACGTCGCGATGGAAAGCCCAGTTTCGGGTTGAATGGAGACAGGGCTTAGTCCGTTGAGGGTTGTAGGCTCAACCTTTGTCGGCTTACTGTGGTATCCTGGTTTGCAAATGTGAGAAGAATGGTAAGGGTCTTGAGGTCCTTATTCCAAGGACCCAAAGGGGGGGGCAGTAGTTTTTGTAAACTAAGAACACAAGGGCAGTTCTGAATGGAAAAAGCTTCTCTGGCTCCGGAAGAAGGGGGCAGTCCTGGCATGAAGGATGGTGTGCCGTAGCATAACACCCGATCTCTAGCATGGAACCTGCTCAAAAAACTTGCAGCGAAGGAGAGACTAGTATACTGCTGTGTCAGCCCTGACACAGGTGCGAAGAGTATGCGCTTCACTCTGAATCGTGATTGCTTGACAGTGCCGAGAGCGAGAATGTGAGTCAACTGCGTCCTGCGAGTCCGAGGAGGGTGTGGATCCGCGGCTCGCGAGCATGAAAGGCGGGAGAAGCCGGAGCGGATAGGGACGGAGTTAGAATGGAGAAGCATGTGCGTTTGGGGGTTCAGGTTTGAGGTTAGGCCTTTGTTCCTTATTGCCGCTGTGACATGTGGTTCATGTTCGGTCAGGCATGAGCTTCTTCGAGATTGCTTGGGTAATTCAGCGTTCTTGGTGATGACTTCGGGTGCTGCTGCTGTTGTTGCCTGTTGCCATGCTTGTTGATGCTCACGTGGCAGCATGTCGAGGTCGGCCTGCACACCTCTCCAAGAGCATCGATGCCATCGAGATCGCTTGGGACAAGCCCTGCGACCGAGGTGAAGCGGCTTAAGGACGAGTGACTAGTGGTTCTTTGGGGGTGCTGAGGTTCGGTTCAGACGCCGTTACACTGAGTTTAGTAGGAATCCACAATTGTGTATGCCAGGCTGGTTTCTACGTATGCCAGATCAGTAAGGTGGATGCCGACCAGCCGAATCCTCATATCCGAATCATATGCGTGGCAGTACGGATGCCTTCGAAATCGTCGCAGTCGTATATACTACGCCGAGTGAGACGGCCCGCAGGCTCGCATGACAGTTTCCGGATTAGTGAAAACGAGGACATACCAGAGCCGAAGCATTGCCTTTGACAATCTGAGCTCTTTTTGAAGGCCACTCGAAGTTACCTCAGCAGGTTGCCAGAAGACATGTCCAATACTTTGGAATTTATTTGTGTTTGTAGCCTTCAAAATTCGAATCACCACAAGCATAAGTCCCCAAAGGATTCGATGTCACTGAGAGGCTTGATTGGCCGCTGAAGCGACCAAGTTTCCAGAACTGGGCCTGAACATTTCCATCATGGAATCCTTACCTTTGCATACCAAAAACGTACTTCCTGCTCGAGTCCTTGTAAATTCCATATTGGGTTTTTGCTAGGGTTTATAGTTTATAGTATATAAGAACCCTGCAAGTAAAGTAGATTCTGGCACTTTCAAGCAAGCCCTAAACCCCTGAACCCGTAAACTACACTGGGGATGGAAGCGCGGGTCAAGTGTGAGTTCGAGTTAATATAAGTTTGGGATTTGGGGCCTTGGCAGCTTGGGGTCTGCACAGCCAGGCAGCGAGATCGAGACCTACGAATTTATGATCAGCCGGCCTCCCGGGCTCCAGGTATACCTAGAGTATAGCTATTATATACCCATTGTATAGCCCATTTTGGGGTAGGGGTCCCCGTTAAGGGTCCCTCCTTTTCCCCTTGGATGAAAGGGTGTGAGGTTTGCTCTATCCAAAAAGTCACCCGAAAAATGCTCCGATCCGCACCATATTTATTCGGGGGTGCAGAAGCTTGGTGTAAATGTAGAAGATCCCCTAGGGCTTCTTGCTACAACTCTGCGATGATGTGGTCTCAAAACTGTGTTTCGATACCCATTAGAATACCCCTTATAGTAAGCAATACCCCTCATAGCAACCAACGCCCCTTATAGCAAGCAATACCCCTTATTGTAACCAATTCCCCGTACAGTAGCCAATACCCCAAAAAGTAACCAATACTGTACCCCATATTCTAACCAATACCCCCTATATACGGTTGATGATATAAATCCTGCCTGACCCACAATAAGCAATATACCACAAATCCCATAGTTTAGGGCCCTTAAGGTAATGCAGGATTTATATTTTTAATCGTAGCAAGCAATATAGACACCCTATGCCAGCTACTGCCTAAACCCTATAAACCCTATAAACCCTATAAACCCTAAACCCTTTAAGCCCTATAGTAAGCAATACAGACACCCTATGCTAGCTATATACTGCCTAAACCCGAAACCCAAAAACCCTAAATCCCTGAACCCAGAAAACCCTATGCTAGCTACTGCGGGGCTCGGGGTTTATCGAGGCAGAGATCCGAAGTTCCCGAAACTCGAGACGAGGCCCTTGGGGATGCGTGGGTTTAGGGTTTAGGGGTGTCGCAAGTCCTGGTGCAAGAAAGGGGTGTTTCAGTGAGGGTTAGAAGAAAGGCTTTGGTCAGGTGGGAGCTTTGATATCTTGGGAAGACTTTGCCATTTGTGCTGCAAGTCGTGTCATGGAGCTGCAAAGGCCATGTACAAAACACTGAAGACTGTGATATTGCCACACGTGGATAGACCCTGGTTGCTGGCGCGCCTCAGGGGACTCTTCAGGGTTCGTATCCTCAGAACTTGCCTAGTCAGAAGTCGCTTACGGTATGTCGGGTGAAGGCGTCGGCTTGTACGGTTGCGGACACAGAGTTCGGCAGTTGCAGCCACAGGCAGATGAGTGTGGATGGGCATTCTGAGAAGCTGCAGCTAGACGGTCCTGGCCCAAGCCACGTCTTCGGGTCGTAGGTTTCGGAAGCCCAAAGTGAAGTCCGACCAGTGCCTTCATCTCAGTCGCAGTTCCCGAGACACACAAGAGGGCCGCCCTAGGACGGGGCTGCGGGATGCCTTGGCATTCGATGGATGTTTAGGGCTTTTGAGGTGGTGGGTAACTCCGGAAGGGGCTTTAGGTAAAACTACTACTGCCTTGGCATGAGCTCCTCTTTTGCTGCGACACACATGTATCACAACCCGCAACTGTAGGCTCCTGACTGCCTGGTGAATTGCTCAGGTTTGATTCCAAATCAAGTGTGCGCCAGCCAGTACTGCCAGATGGGGCTGAATGTCAGGCAAACACTGCAGCTATTCGCAGACCTCTCTCTCTGTCTCTCGGTCGGTTGGTTGCCTTCGTTGGGGCCTATGGCTTCGAATCTCATCTTTGCGCTTTTCGGAATGACACATAATTGACTACACACGCCGAATACGACGCAGGAGGGTTGAGGATCGGAGCTCAGGTAAGAAGGCATGGTGCACAGCAGAGTGTGTAGATGCGATGGATTGGGTCAGTGTAGTTGACACGCCACTACTTCAAACCACGAAGGCTTCCGGATGGATGCTCACAAGGGTTTCCATGCTCTGGCTTTGGACGAGTTCTGGGCTTTCGAGGCTCTTCGATGAGACCACGTCTTACGTTCTATGCATGCTCGTGCTCAGTGCTTAGAGGCGGATGCAGCTGCATAATGCACGTGTTCGATCGTGATGCTGCAGCCGCGCATCCTGCGCGTCTCTCCGACATCAGTGAACCCTCAGCTTGAGATTGAAAGCCTGAGACTCTTTTTCTTCGCAGTTGGTTCGGAGGAAACTTGAGTTTCACCCTCAGCAGCAGAGGAGTCTGTAAGGCAGTCACACACCTGAAATCCTTCCCTTAGATATCATCCATGGGGCAGGTCGGTACCTAGATCTACGAGTAGGTCGTAAGAAGCACGATGAACACGGCACGCCCAGTGCCTCAATGCTTTGCACTGCACGTGCGGTAGCCTGAACCCATACGGCCCCGCTTTCTTGGCAAAACTCTGCTGCATTCCTGAAAGCTTGTAGCAGTCACAGAGACACAGCGCGACAAGCTCGGAAGTGTCGGGGACCGGCCCAAGCCATGAAGAGGTTTTAGGATCAACAGGATACGGTCCGAAGTTTTCCTCCTGTGGGCTTGCGCGCGTTGGCCGTTGCGGACGCTGCGTAAAGCTCACCCATGGCGCCGAAATCGAAGGCCGAACTCACACGACATGATCGTGGCTTTGAGATTGGAAGCTTACTCAAGACAGGACCTTGCAGATGGGGAACTAGGAAAGGAAACAGCGCGGTAGAACTCCCAAGTTTCTGACGTCACAGCTGCTTTGCTGATACCGCCTCGCTTGCGGCACTACCCATGCACCACTAAGAAACGATGGTGCAAACAAATACTATCACCAGCACGGTGGTCGTACCATAGTACCTTTGGACTGTTTGCTATCGCAGCTTGTGCTGCTGCACATACTTTCCAAAATATCGGCCTGCCTACCGGCCTACCTGCCCACTGCCAGTACTACAATCGCTATCACTTCCACCCCACCCACACTCCCGCCCAGCCACAGCTGCTGCCGTGGCCACTGCAACCAGCGCTGACATCGCCACCGGCACCGCCTCTGCCACACCACTTCCACTACCACAAGCTGCTGCTACTCTGCTACCGCTAGTGCTACTGTTGCAACTAAACCTGCTGCAACAACTACTACTACGACGACGACGACGACCTCACCACAACCAGCAACACCACGACCAACAGTTATTATGCACATGCAGTATCCCTTCGAGTCGGCTTTTCATTGGGCACAGAGTGCCGTTTTCAGTTGTGCTCATTGAGGCATCCGCGAAACCGAAGCGCACCCGAGCAGGCAGGCCTTGCTTTGGAGATGGACTGTAGGCTCCACCAGTCATTTAATGTTAAATTTTCTCTCCTTGCCGTCCGCCATTTTTCGAAGACTTCGGCCACGAGAGCCACAGTCACGAGTGTTGAGAAGACAGTCTAGGTCCGATCTACACGAGCACCTGCACCAGGCAGTCTCCCTCCCCGGCGCAGAGGGGCCTCGCCGGCACCCTCAGGCTAAGACAGTTTCACTGGTTCGGGAGTTTGAGGCGTAGGACTAATTGGCGATTTCCTGGACATTGGAAAGTGTTCATGTCGGCGTCTTCGGGGCAATCCTTCTCTCAGCGTAAGCCACGCACAGGTGACAAAGTGAATGCATCTTGCAGCCATCTGATTGCACCATCTGCGCGAGTCTAGTACAGACAGAACTCTGGTTTCCTGTCTAGTCTTCATCAATAGAGCTCGTATCGCCATTTGCTGTTGTGGTAACCCTGCTATCAGCTAGCATTCCTCTGCTCTTGTTGCGACTATTACCTTTATCATCATCGCCCTGCAACTTCTGCCAGGTCCTGCTGCTACTACTACTACCACCACTACTACACTGCTACACCTGTATTCTACAGAAACTCATGTACAGTTATACAGTTATACTGCTCTACTACTCTCAGCAGTCTGGCCTCGCAGTTGTGACATCGGCTCAATCTTTTTGCCCTAACAGTGCGCCTTTGAGTCCGAGTATCACCATGGGCTCCGCCTTTCGGGTTGCGTTGTTCAACATTCTCGTGCTCCAGGTTTGTGGACACTGCCTTTTTGACAACCAGCCCAAGCTGCAGAGCTGTGGGAGGCGGTGCTTGGGTGTGCCGGGCGGCGGAAAGGTGACCTGCGTGTCGAATTGCCTCGTCGGGAAGGGCGTCTCTTGGTCATGTGCTTCTTGTCTTGGCCGGGGCTTTAACTGCGGTGTCAACTCCTGCATGGGATCCTGCAGCACAGGCTTCTCCAAGCCCAGTTGCACGACTTGCATAAGCTCGCATTGCGGTCTGTGCAGCAGAGCACGGTCAAGCGAGGGCGTGCTCGACAACGCCACCCTTGAAGCACTAGTGGAGGTCTTTGCTGGTGCAGCCACGGCCGGCACTTCAGCAGAGCTGGAGGAAGCAGAAGCCTCTACTCGCAGTGGCAGCGGATGCTTCGAGGTCCAGGCGTTGATGAAGACATGCGGCACACAGTGCTATTCCTCCGGCAACCAAGCCACATGTGCCGCTGGCTGCCTTACCGGCAAGGGCGTCTCCCCCGGATGTGCTAGCTGCTTCGGCAGGAAGATCAGCTGCACGATCAAGAGGTGTCTATCGGGTTGTGCCGCAGATCCCAATGGTGCCGCCTGTACCTCCTGCGTCGCCAGCAAATGCGGTAGATGCAATGCTGCAAAATCCTTGGACGAGCCTGTGGGCAAGGATAATTTTGTCGCTGCTCTGGTGGAGCTGGCATCTCAACAGCAAAATCAGAGCGCAGTTGACAAAACAGCAGAGCTGGAGGAAGCAGAAGCCTCTACTCGCAGTGGCAGCGGATGCTTCGAGGTCCAGGCGTTGATGAAGACATGCGGCACACAGTGCTATTCCTCCGGCAACCAAGCCACATGTGCCGCTGGCTGCCTCACCGGCAAGGGCGTCTCCCCCGGATGTGCTAGCTGCTTCGGCAGGAAGATCAGCTGCACGATCAAGAGGTGTCTATCGGGTTGTGCCGCAGATCCCAATGGTGCCGCCTGTACCTCCTGCGTCGCCAGCAAATGCGGTAGATGCAATGCTGCAAAATCCTTGGACGAGCCTGTGGGCAAGGATAATTTTGTCGCTGCTCTGGCGGAGCTGGCATCTCAACAGCAAAATCAGAGCGCAGTTGACAAAACAGCAGAGCTGGAGGAAGCAGAAGCCTCTACTCGCAGTGGCAGCGGATGCTTCGAGGTCCAGGCGTTGATGAAGACATGCGGCACACAGTGCTATTCCTCCGGCAACCAAGCCACATGTGCCGCTGGCTGCCTCACCGGCAAGGGCGTCTCCCCCGGATGTGCTAGCTGCTTCGGCAGGAAGATCAGCTGCACGATCAAGAGGTGTCTATCGGGTTGTGCCGCAGATCCCAATGGTGCCGCCTGTACCTCCTGCGTCGCCAGCAAATGCGGTAGATGCAATGCTGCAAAATCCTTGGACGAGCCTGTGGGCAAGGAGAATTTTGTCGCTGCTCTGGTGGAGCTGGCATCTCAACAGCAAGATGAGAACACCATCTTTCCCTGAGGCAGTGTGCGATGTAAAGACGTTTCTGTTAATTAAAGCTCGTTGCTTGTCGGAGTTCTAGGCTCCGCGGCTCTGCGTCTCCGCACAGATCCAACCAGCGCACATCACGTTCACAGTTTCATGCTAGTTGCAGAGCCCGGTCACTTTTGTTTCCGACCAGGCTGTCAGCACACACGCTGCGACAGCACACAGGTGGCAGGGCTGGAATGCCTTGTCGCAAGCGTGCCTGATCGGTAGTTGAGTGCACCTACTGCCTCTAAATTTGTGCCTGTACCCTGCTGGCACCGAATCTGTACATGCGAATCTCAGGGAAAAAGCGTTGCCGTCCAGCTGCCTGGAGACTCGAGACTACTTCCAGTGTCTACGACACTGCAGAGGTGGATAACACCCCTCACAATCAGCCGGCGCCGACTTAGCTTCACAGCCGACTCCTGGCTGTGAAAAACATTGCTCTGGTTGCAGGTGCGGGAGGCAGCGTTGCCGGCAGTGTGCGCGAAGGCCGGGTTGTGCAGGGGAGGGGCCCTCGGGCTGAGTAGGAATTCAGGGCCCCAGCGCTGCAGTTGGGCTCGTTGTGTCCAGGGGTTCTGGTTCTCCGTTCTTACAGAAGTTATATACCCCATACATCATGTATGCTCCATTTGGAGCCGTAAGCTGCACAGTGCGAGGAAACCCTTTAAAATGAGGTGTCGAGGCATGAACTGCTTCTTACTGTATAAGAAGCACCCCTCCCCCCTGGCCCATATCCGGACCGGGATGCATCTTCACTCTTTCACGAAACAATCAGCCAACCACCCCTCATCCCTTATCCCTATATACCACCCCATAACCCTACCCCGGCTAAAGCCTAGACCTAACCTTACTTGTACCTTTGGTTAGTAGGGAATGGAGCAATGGGTACGATTCTAACTACTATTACTACCATTCTTCCATTCCCTACTAGCCAAAGGTAAGTAACTCAGAAACGGTGCCCGGAGAAGCGTCGGGCTTGGCTCGGGTTGGACGAGAGGCGAAGGCACGGAACGCGAAGCAGCAAGCGAAGCATAGGCTTGCTGAATGTTGGTTACCCAAGGGCCCCATAGTAGTTCCTTTTTGGGATTACTTTGTCGGATTTTTCATTTAAATATGAACCCCGAAAAAGAACTACTGGGGGGCCTTTGGGTAGTCTGCAGTCTTGCTTTCACACTTTAGTCTCACAGACAACCAAGAAAGACGGTTAAGTTGCGTTCATCTGTTTGTCGCGATACCAACACCGGGATGTCGGGAAAGCCGTGCAGGGGAAGAAGGGCCTTGATGGTGCAGTTTATTCTTTGATCCACCCTAAACGTGAGTGCCGAAACCCGTATAGGAGTTTCCGAGAATAGGGGACCCTCATATAGTACCCTGATAGTAGGATCCTTATTATAAGCACCCCAAAATCAGGTACCCTTTGGAATAGAAGAGGTGAGCAAATTTTGCAAAGTTGGAAGGAGTCCTCCGTCAGGTTCCAAGGAGCCGGCCGCGTCCGTGGCGTCCAAGGAAAAAGCAGACGATGCCGCCTCTGCGGCTTCCACCGAGGTAGGATGCTACTGTAGGGGCCTTAATAATTACCAATCCTATATTGTGGGGGTTCCCTATTATAACTATAGTATAATGGGCCCCAAAACCCTCTTCCAATTCTTAAGGCCCCTATATTATAGAAGCCTATTATAGATGCCTTATAGCCTTTCAGGGGAACCCTATTCCAATTATGAAGGCCCCTGTACTACTGCAGGACTTGCGACTTTTCATCAGGAGATTTCCGGACAAAGTGTTGTGGAAAGCAGCAAGTAGGGATCGAAGCTATGAAGTGGGTTCTGGCTCGGAGTGTTGAGTCCTGCTATGGCAGGACTGAGTGGAAGAAGTGCCGTGAAATCCTTATGGTCATCGTGTGGCGGCGATGATGGTGGTGCTGTTCCGGAGCATACAAGTTCGCGTTGATGATGACGGAGTTGATGGTCTCGACCTTTCACTCCAAATAAAGACGGTGATGACAATGTTCTTTAAGACATCATCAGCATGCTGCTGCTGGTCATTCGTCAGAGTCATGACGATGGAAGCGATGGGGGAGAATTGCTAGTCTGAGTCGTCCCGCGGCTCATGTTGTCCCTTGCCATACAATCCTTGACTTTGGTTAGTAGGGAATGGAGGAATGGGGTACAATTATAACCACTACTACCATTTTTCCATTCCCTACTAACCAAAGGTAAGAATCCCGCGATGCCAGGTCGAAGCACCGCCGGTGATCGTTAGCATAAGCAAGGAGACCATCAAGACAATATTTTCAAGGCCGGGACCTACTAGAGGGGCCTTAAATAATTACCCATACTATTTCGGGGGTTCCTTATCGGAATTATAGTATAATAAGCCCCAAAACCCCATTCTAATTATTAAGGCCCCTATGTTACATGTCGAGCCCTGAACGGCCCTAAACCCTGAACTCTAGTCTGTGCCCGCGTCTCCCCGCAGCAGTTGTGATGATGAAGATGAAAGTGACGGTGATGACGATGATGCTGGGTGGTTATGCGAGGGCGAGGGCGAGGGCGACGGTGGTGATGACGACGTTGGCGGCAGTTGTTGATGACAATGCTATCGAGAGCCTTTGTGCTCCATGTCTTCAGCATGTTCTAATAACGTTCGTGCCATCGTTACCTGTTTGACGACTCGCTGTGCTGTCAAGCTTGATACGTCGCAGTTGCTGATGAGTAGCTCGCTTAAGCTGCTGGTGGGGGTTGTTAGGTCGGGGTTCTTTGCTTGGGTTTCTTTTGCTTCGGGCTGTGAGGTTTGAGTTGATGGTGCCGGATGCTTTCGGGGCAGAGGAGCTTCCTAGGATCCACGAAAGCAGAAACCTCCAGCTGTTTTCGCGGTTGGAGGTTCGACCTCAACGGAAACGGCACCATTGCGACTTGTCTGCCCTTGACACCGCGAAAGACTGCGAACCAAATGCAATGTAGTTCGTCTTAATTTCGCAGTGCCAGGCACTTCGTATGATGACGTTTCAGAGAGCAAAGGGCCCTGAGATGGACTTTCAGCAGTAGGATCTTCAACGTAAGGCTCCCCAATAAAAAGGCACCCCTTCAGCTAGCCAGATATATGATAAAAAAAAGATTGATATATATATATATATATATATATATAAATATATAGGTAGACGGATACTTTGATCGATCGACCCACAGATAGACACATCTGTAGGTATTGACTGTGGGGACCCATCGGTGTCAAGCCAGTTGTCAGGAACGACTGCAGTTTAGGTTCTGAACCCCCGGAAAGTTGTAGCAGACCCGAACTTTGTTAGAAGTAACCCTAAACTCTAAAACCCTAAACCAGTTAGAAGTGTTTCTCCTCTCGGCGGTTTGGCTTGGACAGCTTTTCGTTTTAATTAGGTTAATGACTGGAAGGCTCGGTTCTGCTCTAGAGCGACTCCGCAGCCCGGTTGAACTAACCAAGCTCGACACCACATACCTAAGAGCCCCTCTACCCTGCAAGCCCTTCAAGCACCACTGCTCCAAACGCCGAAGCATCCGCAATTCGTAGCCCTCGAAGCATTAAGGAGCAGTCTGAGCTGGCGATGGTTTTCCAAGTCCTAGCACCTCGCTACTTGCCCGGCAAGGACAAGGAGACGAGTCCCTGTGAATCAATAGGCTGAGTGCTGGCCGCAACCGCAGCTGGAATTCCTAGTTTGTGCGTGATTGTCAGACGAAGTTTCAGCAGGAAGGCGGTGTTTCTTTTGCCCTGTGGTTGAGGCCAGTGGTCTTCGAACGCCATCAAGCGACTTTTCGATGGAGTCTTTATCGCAAAACTGTGGCTTCAGCCGGTGCGGCTGTATGCAATAAGTGCGTAGCATGTGAGCAGGTTGATTCTAGGCGTTTAGAAACTAGGCTGCGTAGCGTCGCACCTCTGAGCCCGACTCTAGGCCCCAGGCGTGATGCGACCCGAAAGACGCAAAGGAAACATGACGTGATACCCTCCAAACAGTCGCGTGCATCCATAAATCCAAACTCCATAACGGCTGCAGCTCCGGAATCCAGGCTGCAAAGGTGAGACGTGAAGCCGTGCACCTTTGCGCGTTTAGTGGCGACCCTGGCGACCCCGTATTAGTATTGTTAGGGGGCTTCATTGACCGGGGGTAGCCGGAAATATATTCAATGAAGAGCCTTAACCCGAAACAGGATGTAGTAACAAAGAACCCGGAGCGAGATTGGTGTTCTAAAGCCGCAAATGGCTAGTGCAGCTCTTGTGGTATCTACTCGTGGCCGCCTTGCATGTTGGATTCACCAAGCTGATCTTACTGGGTTCGGGCGGCGGAAGCTATCACATCGTCCCGTTTACTTCTGACCACCTGCCATCTGAAAAACGAGCACATGGAACGGTAGCCGCTTCACAAGTACCTACCAATCAACCCTGGAAGAAGAGCGCCTCTCTGCAACCTGGCCTTGTTGTCGGCATTACCGTGTGTCTCGCTATGTCTTGAGGAATGGACATCAACGAGGATGGGCATGTTCAGTTCACCGAGTTCATCGAGTGGATTTTCGACACAGGCTGGACAAGACCAGCGACCCAGTCCAAGACCGTGTGGTCACGAAAAACCAGACGATTTCGGTCTCGTTCTTGCTTTCCTTCTTTCTGTCGCTCTATGTCTTTCGCAATGTTTGGGCTGAGTGCCTGTTTTATATCACACAACACTGCCAGTGACTGCCAGTGCTTTCTAAGAAGGATGCTACCAAACAAAGACGGCTTCGTGGCCCTCCACTCCATGTGAACTTTCAGTTTCACCCGATACAGATCAAGTCTGACAAGGATTGGGGCCTTGCCCTGCCAACACCCAGAGAAGATCAACTCCAGATCTCGAAATGCTACAGGCTAAACGCGCTGATGTTTACAGGCGTCTACTCAAGCCTCTCTTTGATCTCGGGACCGACTGAAGGTAGCACACCGTAGCGCAAGGTATTATAGTCAATGAGCCGTGTGCGGCATGATCCCTAATATCAGGAACGTGATCGCTCCTAATTTAAAGGCAAAGATATGCAAGCGTAACCCACGGAACGATCTTACAGATTCAGTCCTCTTCTGAAGTTGAGGGTGTGCAGGTGTAGTGTTAAGGAATTACATCCTTTAACTTCTGGGATATGTCAAAAAGATAAATAAAACCAAAATAAAAGCAAACAAAAACCAAACACGTACATCTAGCCAGCAACCACAACAACGAACAAAAAGCAAAACAAAAACACAGCAAAGACCAACAAAAAGCAACAACATCATAGAGAGCAGGTGGGAGGCCTTGGGGGCTTTGCTTTTGGTATTTTTGCTTTTTTTCCTAGGAAAAAAAGCAAAAACAACAAGCAAAAAAAAACAAAACAAAAGAAAACATGCCACTAGGAAAAAAAGCAAAACACAGCAACAACATACCAACAAAAAAGTTCCCAAGGCCTCCCAGGGCCTCCCACCTGCTCTCTATGATGTTGTTACTTTTTAGTGGTGTTCCTATTGTCTTGTTTTGATATTTGTTTTGTTTCTTTATCTTTTTGTTGATTTCCAGAGGTTACAGTGTTTTGAATGTCTTAAGTGTAGTGTAGGGATACACCCTCTATTCGATCTGCCACGTGCACGTATCCATACACATATATTGCATGTCTATGAGGTATGCAAACTTGGTCAAGTGTTGGGATTCAGCTAGGTTTAGGGCCTTGGGTTTCGAGGTGAAAGGTCTCAGGCTCGCTACGCCGAAGCCATAGGTTTCGTGGTTGTGGACGAGGATGCAGCGGCGCAGAAGTTTTTGAAGATGTCCAGGGCGGATGCTTATGAACATGGCCCACCAGCCACACCTCTCGTGGTTGTAGAGTCGTTGTTCTTCAGCTGTCGGCAGCGGCAGCAGAGGCAGCGCTGCGTTGCAAGCCAGAGCCCTCCTTGCTTGAAGGGCAGCATGGATTTCGCATGGCGTCTTCAAGCTGGACGCCAGCGTTGCGTCGGTGTTGATGTAAGTCCGAGTGGCCCTTGATCGAGGCCGAGGCAAGATATCAGACCCTGACCTCTTGAGACCATGATTCCTCGGGTCTTGCCGCGAGGTGTCCCTAAACCCTAGGCCCTAAACCCTAAACTATAGAGGTCCAGGGCCTACTGCAGGGCTTCAGGTGAAATCCGGGGTACAGCCTTCAGTGCTCACTACAGGGGCCTAATTAATTTTACTATTTTGGGGCTCCCTCCTATAACTATAGTACAATGGGTGCCAAAACCCTATTCTAATTATAAAGGCTCCTATATTCGGATTTGCAGGCACCAACTCTTTCAAGGGCGCGCTGGAGATCGCCGAGACCACGGACGGTGCAAAGACCCTGGAGTGGTCCGTGGCCCTTGCGGCCGCAGTTTGTGGTAGGTTTAGGGTTTCAGCTGTCCTGGCGTGGTCGTTCCTCATGAACAAGCTTGAGGGCGGTCCCGGTAGAGGCGCTGCAGACCGGATGCAAAAGCTGTCCTGGCGTGACGTTGCAAGCCAGTTGCAAAGTGGGGCAGACTTCTAGAGTAAAGCCATGCGATGTCTTGGAAGCAACGAGCAGTTAGCAAGAATGATAATGCGGGCTGCCGAGCTTGATGGTGAAATTGGCTCTAGCCATAAACCGTGCCAATCCCGTAGGCCTAAGCGCTCCAAGTTCTTTAAGCCGAAGATCCCAAAACGTAAAGTGGCAGAATCACGATACCCTGAAAAGTTCGGGGGATGTCACGGGCGTAAGAATTCGAGGATTGCAGGTGCAGCAGTGTAGCGCGGCCTCGGGTTTGCCGCTAGGGCTTTCCAATGAGGTCCCAGCTGAGAGTCATCGGAGTTGTGGGCTCCAACATGCTTAGGGGTAGTGTCAGGCCCATGGTTCGCCGACGCTTTTGCCATGGGTCTTGGGCTGTCGTTGTCTGCGCAAGTATGCGCTAGTCGTCCGTAAGCTTTCTGTGTTCACGGCTCATTTTCAGGACACATCGACCCTGCTTGGTGAATGCATGATCCTCCAGGTGCAGGCTGCGAGGTTCGGGTTGTAAGCTGTCACCGGCGTCGGGGCAGTTCTAGCAGTTCGTAAGTAGCTGCGATGCCCAAGCTCCTACACCCTAAAACTTGAGCATGTGCATAACCAGCTAGAATGACCGAGGCAGATATCCAGCTACCCATCGCGGCTCCCGACATTCGGGCAGAGCTGGAGACCATCGATGGGTTTGCGATCGAGGACACTCGTGTGAGGCTTTTGTTATAAAGAAGACCTTGTGGCAAAATTTGGCAACATGGATTCGAGATGCCCGAGGGCTCCAGTCTTGCACCGTGAGGTTCTTGTTGTTGTCTGTCCAAGAGCATCGGGAAGAGGCCAACACGCTGCCGTGATCATCGCATCGTACGACGGCTGGCGTTCGAACCACCATCATTACGCATTATACCATCGCCAACGTCGTTGTCGTTTTCGTCACTGTTGCTGTCGTTGCTATTCAACGACTCTGCTACTTGTTTGCAGCCCAGAAGTCTGAAAAAGTGTTGTTCGCTCAAGGACGAGATCAAGAAGATGGACCCTTACGATCTCAAGAAGCTCGAATCGCTCACAGCCCCTCGGGATCACAACGGCTTCATGCAGCCTTTGTGCAGGTGTGCAATTTGTAGCCCAACGTGGTGCTTGGGGCCAGGTGCATCTCACATACTGCGCGGAGGAGCCAATTCACAGCGTATATTCATATAGGAGCTTCCGAAAAGTAGGGGTACCTTATTGTGGGGTCCTCATAATAAGGGTCCTACTATTTAGGGTACTATATTAGGATTCTCCGTTTTCGGAAACTCCCGTACCATACGTACTTCTTCAATCGCTCATACTTCTATAGTGCAGATGTAGAGCTACTGTCATGGGGCACCACCTGGTTACAGGACGAGGTTCGGTTTCGGGGGGGCCTCTCCAACCTGTAGGGGCCTAAATAATTACCTATACTATTTTTGGGGTTCTTTTTTTGTTAGTTACAGGAGCTTGCTGTTGTGAGAGATTCACAATCTGACGAAATCGAATGGGCAGATGTTGCTCAAATCGGTTTTCCATTTATCTTTCCCACCCGCCCTCACCCGTTATTTACCAGTGGAGGGGGTTTTCTCATATCGGTTTCCGATGCGAGGATGTAAAGTCCTGGTGTGCTCGGCACTTTACCAGATCTTTTCTCATATCCTGGGTCGGTGCTGCATCTCCCCATCGAAGCTTGCAGCTACTGGTGGCAACAGGCTGGTGGCATCTGGGTGCAGGTTTACTTCTCATCAGGGCATCCGGGCTCTGCGCAGTACCATGCCGACAGGAATGCAGGAAGAGCTCTGGTCAGAGACGTGGAAGAGACAGGCGTGCGACAGCCAAAGTGACGGCAGTTTGTCCTACCGAAGCTGTGCCAGTGCTGCTAGCAGTGAGGTGGAAAGAGGTGCATCGAGTGCAGTTTCTGATGGGGAGCAGCGCCCACAGGCTGCACGGGCTGCAGCGGCTGCAGTCATTACACAGCAGGAGTTGCAGGAGGTTATCGCAGAGCTCGAGCAGAAGTGGGGAAAGTGCTGTGGCCTGTATGTACATGGTTCCACAATATTTGCTAACCAGCTCTGCCCACACGACCTGGACTTGATTGCCGTCATCGATCATGCGAAGCAAGAGGTGCTGCAGCACTCGCCAGACGCGCAGTTCACCCTGGGCCGCTGTGAGGTGTCCGTGTTTGAGCGTCGATGCTTCTTTGAGAAGCTGCATGCCATGGACCTGACCATGCTGACCTGTCTTTCCACCCCAAAGCGCTTTGTGCTGAAAGAGCTCCAGGATGAGCGCCTTCGAAACTTCGAGCTGGACCTGCGATTGCTGGAGGAGTCTGTCACATCCTATGCAGAGTTTACCTGGCTGAAGGCACAGCGTGTCCTGAACGACTGGAAGGATCCGTACAAGTCCAGCAAGAACGCATACTTCGTCTTTCGTATACTGGAGTTCGGCTGCCAGCTTGCGGATCATGGGCGCATTGTTGATCTCAAGGCCGCAAACCATATGTGGGACGTCATCAAGGAGCTCTACCAGGTACTGAACATCCAGCCGCAGGAGGAGGAACACGGCAGTGCAAGCGAGCTTGATTGAATCCGTATTCGCATGTGAGGGGTCGGGTTGTTGAATGAGCCGGTGTCACATGAGCAGCCAGCAACTCCTTGTGATTGCCACCTAGCTTGCTGTAAGCTCTGGACTCCTCGTGATGTTGAGATGGAAGTCTAGGTGCCGTCATGCATCGGGCGGCCAGTGTACGCCGAGGTGTGTATTTGTAAATCATAATATACTATAATGTACTATAATATATACTATGATATGCTTTGATATACTAGGATATACTAGGATATACTATGATATACGATCAAGCGGGACCCACAAAATACTATGATATACTATGATATACTACATGATACTGTCATATACGCACAGGACGTCATCGAGGCCGTCCTGGCCAGGCACTTCAAGGACTCCCTGGCGCGCTTCGAGGCCAAGGTGTCGGCGGCGCGCCAGCGCGAGCGCGGAGAGCGCGGAGGTTCGGAGGCAGAGGCAAAGAAGGCGGAGGAGACCCGGTCCGTGGAGGCGTCCAAGGCACCAAACTCGGACACCTGCGTCATTTGCCTTGAGCCCACCAGCGAGTGTGGAAAGAAAGAGTTGAACCAACTATTGCAATCTCCAAGTGATGCCAACGTGGCAGAAACCTGGGTGCAGCTGGTGAACTGTCGGCACTGTTTCCACACGACCTGCATCGCTGACGCTGTTCGGGCCAGCCTCAAAGCCGACAGAACTCTGCGACACGCCGCCTGCCCCGTCTGCAGGGCCTCTGTGGTCTTCGACTTCCAGGTCTGAGGGATTTCGCAGGGGAACAAGTGGAATAACGGAATAAGGCTTCAAGAGTCAGCGCCAGCAGTAGCCACCTACCATCACCTACCTGCCCCTTCATGCAGGCGAGGTCCACTTCGAGCCGACGGCGGAGGAAGCGGCCTATGTCCTTCGCGGGGTACCCGGCCACGATCAGAAATCCGGAAGACCGGCATCGCGATGGTCGTCGTGGCCGTGATAATCGCGATGAGCGCAATGACCGTGGTGATCGTGATCACGATCGGTGAACACAGCAGCCCTTCCGCTACGGAATCGAGCATATCAAGCTCGGCGGGCATGAGCCGAGGCTTTGCAAGGAGCAGTCAGGATTTTGACCTAGCCGTGGCGAAGAGTATCTCAACGTCCGATTCAGATGCTGGTCAAGTCGTTCGGAGCCCGCCGAATAGCAGACCTAAGTGAAGCGAGCAGACGGGGAATCAATCCCCTCTGAAGAGCGTACAGTGTACAGAGCCGCGATCAGGGACGGACAAGAGCTGACTTGGTTGTCTAAGCTGCATCTGGAGATCCCGGAGCTGTTCTGCCGCAGGTATCTGTATCCCAGGAAGGTTGGGCTTGGCATTTAGTTGGTATTTTTCTGGGCTGAAAGTGAAGTGCTACGGTTGTTAAGGGCTTCGGATTTCATGCTGTAGTCCTCAGCTTTGTGGTTGCTTTGCCGCAGTCTCTCTCCGTCGAGCTCTGCTCAATTGCCAGGGCAGTGCAAGAATGGGTCCTACGCTGCAAGACCCCGCCCCAACTCAAAATCCCGTGCTGCTCTGCAATATGCCTGAACTGTGAGTGCTGTTCCGACTTGAACCCTAAACTCTAAACCCCAAAAAAACCTAAACCCAAACCGCAAGGACCCTGAACCCCACTTTCGTCAGTCTTTCAGGTCGTACCGGACCCAATCCGTCGCGTGTTAGAGGCGGTGCCGCTTGGCAGGAAGCTCCAGGAGATGGTGTCAAGCTGGAGTCGGGGGTTTAGGGCTCGAGGGGTTCCTTTGAGGGATCCCAATAGTTCCTTGTATCTACAATGCGTACTAGACGGGGGGCTAGGCTTGACGAGTTTAGGATTCTGGATTTAGGGTGCACGCATGTGGCTACGGCTCAAGCTTTGGCTCGAGCCGTTCTGGATGCGAGGCTCATACTTGGGCATAACCCTGTACAGTTTGTGCAGGTCAATCGTGGCGACATGGCATCTCTTCAGCAGAAGCTCATTTCGTGCTTGGAGTATGGACTGCGAAGTGCACGCAAATTGGGTCAATCAGCAGCTTGCCAACATCTACGCTTGGCTTTGGTACTGGTGATGGATCCTTCTCAATACACTACTGGACAGAGTCTCCGTCATCACACAACGATCGAGTTGAACGAGGCAATTCCCGCTGCAAGAACTCAGACTGCCACTGTCTGCTGCCAAACAGAGGATGAAGTCTTGACGCGACCTGAATTCGAGAGCATTATGGCGAGTCTGGAAAGGACTTACACAACAGCTATGCAGAAGATCGAAGAACAAATGGTCCAACAAATAACCATAATGGACGCGTTGCGGGAACAAGCTCAAACTCGACAACAGGATGAGCATGTCAGCATGGCACTTTCCTGCAGAACTGGTATACCGAGGCTTCCAGGTCATCATGTTGAGCTGGACCCAATTTAATGACCGACATGAGTCACCAACCCGTTCATGCACTTTGCGCCGATTCTGCTACTGCCAGGTTGGAAACACTACGAGAAAGTCACGAGAGGCAGAGACAGACACTCAAGGAGCGGAGACGAGAGGCCCGATTGAACCAGCTTGGAAGACCACCGACTGATCAGCCAGGTTAATTAATGTCAGTTTCAAGAGTTATCCTATCTGTAGTTTTACGAGTGGCACAGATGTTGCCCTTCGACCAGGCCTGACGCTTCGAGAGAGAGAGAGAGAGAGAGAGAGAGAGAGAGAGCAATCGTCCACATGAGGTCGGTAACTCTAGTCTTTCGCACGTAATACCGTGCGCGCCGACAACAAGGGGCGGCCCTCTGGGTGAGGGCTTGCCCTCCAGCCTGGCGAAAGAAAAGAGAGAGAGAGAGAGAAAAAAAAAAAGGTGCACGCATGGGTGACTGTCATCAATGCAGTTTTTGTTCGGGAAGCTCCACACGAGGGCTGCGTTGTCCTTGAACCAGGCCGAGCCAAGAGTCTCTCCCACAAGTCGGGTCGAATGCTTGCGGGTTTGAGGGGTTTTGAAGTTCAGGATTTCGTCGTTGGGCGTTTTCGGAAGATGTGGGGTGATAGTGGAGATCCCAGATAGCAAGCTTAGTGACATGCCGAGACCTGCACATGCAAGCGTCTTTCTAGTAAATTTACAGTTCTGTATGCTGATAGCACCGCTCTGACAGAACGAAGCTGAGCGGGAACTTCGGGTGTTGAAAGTTGCTGCATGTTGGCAGCTGTCTTTCGGATCTTCGAAGCCCTGCACAACCGCTTCTGTTCATGGCTGGAGAATAAAAACTTAAACACCGTGCCTAAAACCCTCAACCCTGAACCTGCCTTGTGCGAGTGCGAGTGTTGAAACCCTTGAACCACCTGAACCCTAGAACCTAGATGGGCGGCCCGTGAAGTTCGGGACATGGCCGAAGGTTGTATGAGACAGAGCCCTCGATCTGTCCAACTAGAAGTTACCTTGCTGCCGCCGAACATCACAGCAAACTCTACGCCTAAACCCCAACAACTTCCTGCTTTTGAGGTACTTGCTTTTGCTGCCCTCCTCGGGCCTGCCATCTATCAGTGCCTTGACGCCGCCCGAATGGTCCGGAATTCAGGACATGCTGAAAGACAGACGCTTGGCTTGGCAATATGCCGTAAGGTTCCGGGTACCGTTACAGTAGGTACTTAGTTCCGTCACAGTTGGATAATTCATTCAATGAGGCTTGCCCATGCATGTGCATATGCCTACGCCGTGTGCATACATGTATTGCTTCGCGTTGAATCTTTATCTCGATCACTCTCAGTCGCTCCCCGTCTCTCTTGCATGCTTCCTTCCCCTTTAACTTTGTCTCTCTTTCCGTCTTCACCTCTCTCTCTCTCTCTCCCCCTCAATGCCCTTGAGTCCATCCCTACTCTGTCCCTGGTGCAAAGAGCTTGTTCTTGCCAATGTTTGTCAATGCTGTTTGTTCGTATTGTGTGCGGAGGCTCCACATGCCAGCGCGTCATGAACTTCAAGGCAAGGAAGGCGGGCCCGTAATTCGACACAGACAGGATCAGAAGTGCAGGTCTGTTTGTTTTGGCATGTTGTATCGACAGGTCTCTTTGTTTTGGCATGTTGTATCGACAGGTGTCTGCAGCTAGGCGCAGTACTACCATCTCGGTTTTGCGATGTTTTACGCGGTCAGCGACCGTTTCTGATAACACCTGTCTAAGCATGCATGAGGCGCAAGCACTGCATGTGTTCTGAGATTCCACCCTCTTTGGGCTTGTTGGTATGTTTCATGATATTTGCAGAGCCACGACAGAACTCCGAATCGGAACATGGCTGCACCCCTGAACAAACAACCATGAGATAGACATCCCAAGATGGGCCAAAACAGGGAGCTCACAGAATCCTGCATGCACCAACTGTCCGTCCACATTCAGACCCTTCTCCGTGCAAAGCTC